TTTAGGGGTTTAGGGGTTTCGAGTTTCGGGGTTTAGGGGTTGAGGGGTTTAGGGTTTCGGGGCTGGATCGGGACCAGGGTTGAAGCACGCAGAATTTTGAATTCAAGGCGCTTGTGACTTATGGTTTTAAGGTTTTGGGGTTGAAGGTTTTTTTTGCTTGCACCAGGTGCTACATAAGGCAGGTGAGGATACATAGGTGTACGGAAAGGGCTCTCGTGAATTCTGAAACTGCATCCAAAACAAACCCTAAAAGCCCCTTATCGAAAGATAGCTTTCCAAATTATTGCCTTTAAATTTCGGACATGTGAACCCTTGTGTTTGTTCAGGGTTTTGGGGCCTTTGGGCCTCTCAGGATAAACCTTAGCCCGGAAGACTGAAGGACCATAACCGCACTGTAGAACCTTATGCATGCACATCGTACCCTTTTAGCTGTCTAATTCCGAGCCGCCAAGCGCTGCTCCCATCGATTGAACAACTTCCGTGGGATGCGTGGCTGCTTGCCGAAGATGCCAAAGCCCCGCGATTGTTAAGCAATGTTGTAACATGGGGGCCCAAAACAGCCACAATAGGTCAATAGGGTATATCATAGTAACACTGTATGGAATCTATGACAGGATACTTTTAGTAGTTGTTGGGACACCGCATCACCTTAGGGTTTTCAGGCTCATGGAGGTATGCAAAGCTGCTAAATCCTGTAGCAGCAAACTCTGCAATTTAGCTATATAAGCCCCCCTGTTCAGGGCGGTGGCACTAAACGGTACTTGTAGCGCGCTGGTTGGTTTTGCCGTTATTGGTAAATGTACATGTTTGTTCAGAAATGCCGAACTGGTTCATGGTTTTGTTGCATCGTTTTTGTTGGGGGTAGGGAAGACTTTGGCCTAAGCCCTAAACCCTGAACCTGGTTTTTGACCCTGAACCGCAAAGCCAAAGCCCTTGTAGAACCCTCCGAACATCATGATTATTGAACTATCGTACATGAAGCCCTGCAAATCCGAAGCGCCCAACTCCTTAAAACCCATGCCCCGGATCCCCCTAAACCCTGAACCCTAAACCCTCCCTCAACCCTCAAACCTTCAAAGGGAAACCCCGAGCCTTCCAGCGCCGACCCTCCGAACCTGCCAAACCCTGAAGCCTAAGCGATTAAATTAAAGTTTTTCGGGTTTAGGGTAAAACTGAATTAGTAGAGCTCTATTAACTTCTAGATTCGTGCAGCTCTCAACCCCATAAGCTTTTGAAAGATTTGTGTCCGCTCCGTCCTTTCAGTTTTGGTTTTGAGTTCCTGGTTTCGGGTTAGGGATACCCAGAGACTTCGACATTGGGGTTTAGGCAAGTTTAGGCTTTTTAGGGTTTAGGGGTTGGGGTTTGGACTATCCCCAAGTTGGGATCCCGGCATAAGTTTTGGGAACACTCCTTACTTAGAGGGCATCGGCGCCGGCGAAAAGCCGGCTGAACGTCTGATTTGGACAATCTTCTTGCTCCAGTCACCAACAATCCCCGGTGTCTGCCAACGTAGCGAAGGACGGCCGTGATGTAGAAGCCTGAATACTGAATACTTGCCATGCACCCTTAAATTCTTCTTCATCAGAAATATACTCTAATATACCCCAAAGATCCAAAAAGCCCAACCCCGTATTTGCAGGATTCCATGGCAGTCAGTAGGGCGACGCTGGTTGGGGCTATATGTGCCCCGAATGGGAAAAGCGTAAGAACATTTGACTTCGAGTTCGCTTCTTGGGTTTAGGGATCAGGGTTTAGGGCCAGTTTCGGGCGACAAAAGATTCAGATGCAACGACAAGTTCACCATTATTCGTATCCCCTTATGGTCCTTAATGTACATATGCTGTAATTACACTAAACCATAGTCTACGTATTGTGGCCCGTATATTAGAGCCCTGCAGCCTCAGCTGCCTTCAACCTGAAATTTGAAAGCCCCCAAATCCTGAAGTGTACTGTAGTGGTAGACACCGAAGAAGCGTTAGGTAACGCTATAGGGTAGGGTATAGGCGGTATAGGTATAGGGATATAGGATACGGCATAGGGTAAAGGGTACAGTATATGTATACGGCGTACCCTAAAACCCGATCACCAGAGGCTGAACCCTGATATTGAAACCCTATACAACCCTAAAGCTGGAAGCCAGCACCCCAAAAGCCTCTGTTTATCTTCAAACCCTTTAGGACCGAAGAAGAAAGCTGTAGTCTAGTTCCGTGTGCCGTCAGCGCCGATATTTTCACCAGAATCACTAGCCCCCAGCCGTGAAGCCGTGACTTTCGGGCGGCTTTGCACCTGAGAGCATAACTGTTGAGCCTCCACGCATGATAAGCTTCGGTTAAGTGAGTTGAGGCAGGGAGGGAGTGTACGTTATGCAACTGTTTGCTTGGATGTTGAGCTCACATCGCTTTCATTGCGAGCTGTTCTGATGCTTTAAGCTAAGTTTTCTGGCATGGTTGAAGTGAGTGATGCCCCTTCTGCAATCCGCAGAGAGAACGGCTTCAAGTGCATGAACCGCAGGATTCGCCGAATTTCGGCAAATTGTACCCGAGGCGGACGAAAGCAAAGGGCCGCCCCAAAGTTCCAAACCTTAGACCCTGTAATGACCAAACGCCCTAAAGCTACGCTCCTGGAGACAACAGGTGAAGAGTCCACGGGTAAGGTTTTTAAGGTTGCGGAGCCAAAAGCTGATGCTTCCTGGAAACTCCTCCTAGATTAAAGGGTACATGGCTTAGACCCAACACCCCGAAGTCCCTGATGCTTCAACCCGCTCTCTAGGCAGCTATGAGCAGCTTGCAAACTTAAACTCCCAAACCTTAAACATGATGCGCTGGTATCAACATGGGATCAAAAGCCTAGTCTGACTGTGACGGTACTACTGAGCCCCCTTCAACCCGACACCGAAGACTTCTTTGCCAGGGGGAAAATATGCCGTTGTCATTGCTGGTCATGGCGGAGGAAGTTTCGGCTCAAGAGCGAGGTTTAGGGATTAGGCATTAGGGTCTGAATGGCTAGTAATGGTGTCTCCTGGCATGTCAGGTTTCGGATGCAGTTCGGGCTCGGCTGCCACTGAACACGGTCGGAGACTTTTTTCGAGTCATCCTCCTGCCGATGTCTGCTGAGCCAAATGAACCCTAAAGGACGTGATACTTCTGTACATACAGTATCTATTCACACACACACACATATATATATATTTTTTTTATTATTTGCACATGCATACGTACAGACAGACACGCATACAGACAGAGACACACACACACACACACATACATGCATACATACATACATACATACATACACATACACGAAAAATACATGATCATACATACATACATACATACATCCATACATCCATCCATCCATCCATCCATCCATGCATGCATGCATGCATGCATGCAGACATACATACGTAAGTACACACATGCATACTTACATACACACACACACATTAT